GTAGCGGCTGGGCCTGTGAGCCGTGGCCGCGGAGGTTGCGCGTCCGGCCACGGGGAAGGCCACGACCGGGGGAGGCCCAAAAAAAAAAAAAAAAAAAAAAAAAAAAAAAAAGATCATAACCATGATTAAGTGGGATTTATTCCAGGGATGCAGGGATGGTTCAATATATGCAAATCAACCAATGTGATATACCACATTAACAAAATGAAGGATAAAGATCACATGATTATCTCAGTAGATGCAGAAAAAGCATTTGACAAAATTCAACATCCATTTATGATAAAAACTCCTAACAAAGCGGGTTAGAGAGAATGTACCTCAATATAGTAAAGGCCATACATGACAAGCCTGCAGCTAAAGTCATACTCATTGGTGGAACTCTGAAAGATTTTGCTCTAAGATGAGGAATAAGATAAGGATGCCCACTCTCACCATTTTCATTCAACATAGTATTAGAAGTCCTATCCAGAGAAGTTTAGGCAAGAAAAAGAAATAAAAGTCATCAAATCAGAAAGGAAGAAGTAAAACTGTCTGTTTACAGATGACATGATACTATATATAGTATATCCTAAAGACACCACCAAAAAACTATTGGAACTAATAAGTGAATTCAGTAAATTTGTAGGATACAAAATGAATATACAGAAATTTGTTGCTTTCTGTACACTAATAACAAACTATCAGAGAGATTAAGAAAACAATCCCAATTACAATAGCATCAAAAAATAAAATAACTTGGAATAAATTTAACCAAGGAGTTGAAACACCTATACACCAAAAACTATAAGATACTGATAAAAAAAATTTATGAAGGCATAAGTAAATTGAAAGATATTTCACATTCATGGATTAGAAGAATTATTATTGTTGAAATGTTCATACTACCTGAAGCAATCTACAGATTCAGTACAATCCCTATCAAAATTACAATGGCATTTTTCAAAGAAATAGAACAAACAATCCTAAACTTTGTAGGGAACCACAACAGACCCTGAAGAACTAAAACAACCTTGAGAAAGAAAAGCAAAGCTGGAGGCATCACATTCCCTGACTTCAAACCAAATTACAAAGCTATAGGGATTGTATAAAGTAGATAACTAATAAGAACCTGCTGCATAAAAAATAAATAAATAAAATTAAATTTAAAAAAAAGCTATAGGGATCAAAACAGTATGCTGTTGGCATAAAAACAGGCACATAGATGAATGGAACAGAATACAGAGCCCAGAAACAAACCCATGCACATGTGGTCAATTAATTTACAACAGAGGGACTTCCCTGGTGGCGCAGTGGTTAAGAATCTGCCTGCCAATGCAGGGGACACGGGTTCGATCCCTGGTCTGGGACGATCCCACATGCCGAGGAGCAACAGCCCTCGCACCACAACTACTGAGCCTGTGCTCTAGAGCCCATGAGCCACAACTACTGAGCCTGAATGCCACAACTACTGGAGCCCACATGCCTAGAACCTGTGCTCTGCAACAAGAGAAGCCACTGCAACGAGAAGCCCAGGCACCGCAACGAAGAGTAGCCCCCCTCACTGCAACTAGAGAAAGCCCGCGCACAGCAACGAAGACCCAATGCAGCCAAAAACAAATTAATTAATTAATTAATTTAAAAAATTTATAAAAAGTCAAGAATGTACAATGGGGAAAGGACAGTCTCTTCAATAAATTGTGTTGGAAAATAAGACAGCCACATGCAAAAGAATGATGGACCACCATCTTACACCATATACAAAACTAACTCAGAATGGATTAAAGATTGAATATAAGACCTGAAATCATAAAACTCCTAGAAGAAAACATGCAGTAAGCTCCTTAACAGTGGTCTTGGTGATGAGTTTTTGGATTTGACACCAAAAGCAAAGGCAACAAAAGCAAAAATAAACAAGTGAGACTTTTTCAAACTAAAAAGCTACTGCACAGCAAAGAAAACCATGAACAAAATGAAAAGGCAACCTACCAAATGGGAAAAAATATTTGCAAATCATATATCCAAAAGGAGTTAACATCTAACATATATTAAAAAACCTCATGAAAGTCAATAGTAAAAAAAAAAAAAAAAATCCGATTAAAAAATGGGCAGAGGCTCTGAATAGATATTTTTCTGAAGAAGACATTACAGCTGGCCAACAGGTACATGAAAGGGTGCTCACATCGCTAACCATCAGGGAAACTCAAACCAAAACCGCAATGAGATATCACCTTACCTTTGTTAGAATGGCTATTATTGAAAAGATGAGAAATAGCAAGTGTTGGTAGTATGTGAAGAAAAGGGAACCCTCATGCACTGTTGGTGGGAATGTAAGTTGGTGCAGCCATATGGGAAACAGTATGGAGCTTCCTCAAAAAATTAAAAATGGAACTACCATATGTTTCAGCAATTCTAGTTCTGGGTATTTATCTGAAGAAAGTGAAAACACTGACTCAAAGAAAAGATATCTACATCACCATGTTCATTGCAGCATTATTTACAATAACCAAGATATGGAAACAATCTAAGTGTCCATCAACAGATGAATGGATAAAGAAATATATATATAATATATATATATGTATGTGTGTATATATATGTATATATGCAATGGAATATTATTCAGCCATGAAAAAGAATGAAATCTTGCCATTTGCGATGGTATGGATGGACCTTGAGGGCATTATGCTAAGTGAAATCAATCTCATAGAGAAAGGCAAATACTGTATGATCTCACTTATGTGAGGAATCTAAAAAAATAAAGAACAAAGCTCATAGATACAGAGAACAGATTGGTGGTTGACAGAGCTGGAGGGTAGGGGGTGGGCAAATGGGTGTAGGGAGTCAAAATGTACAAACATCCAATTATAAAATAAACAAGTCATGGGAATGTCACATACAGCATTGCAGCAATAGTTAATCCTGTATTGCATGTTTGAAAGTTGCTAAGAAAGTAAACCTTAAAAGTTCCCATCACAAGAAAAAAGTCTGTAACTATGTATGGTGACGGATGTTAATTAGACTTACTGTGATGATCATTTTGCAATATATGCAAATATCAAATTATTATGTTGTACACCTGAAATTAATATAATGTTGTATGTCAGTTATACCTCACTTTAAAAAAATGGGCTTTTATCTCAAAGCAGATGTTTTCAAAGAAATGTCATCTTCAGTTCTTCCGATAAAATGGAGGCTCTAAGCATTTATTGAGGTCATGTGACATATGTCAGCTGATCATAAGCTCTTTGGGTGGTGAACTGGTGTGACCTTGCTCCCTGGCAGCTATTAGTCCTGCTGTGACTAGGCTTCAGACAAACTCTTTACATACCATTTAAGCATTAGGCAGTGAATATGGGAAAACAGGAATCTTCCTAAACTATATAAACATACATGTTAATATGTATGTGTGTATAACATCACCTTCTTTGCTACATGCTTACTCTTACAGATGTAATTTGTCTCTAATTCATATCCTCAAGGTATGAATAAATGCTGTAGTATTTATTTTAAATTGAATGTCTGATTTTTTTAAATGGCTGTTCTTAGGTTAGGAATGTATCGTGAAGCAGAAAAACAATTTAAATCAGCCCTGAAGCAGCAGGAAATGGTAGATACATTTCTCTACTTGGCAAAAGTAAGTATTCTTAATTTGAGTGGAATTTGTCTTCTCAGGGTAAATGTTTAAATTCTGACAGTGCATGGGGAGAGTTACCAGTTTCTGTAGGAATATTTGACAAGTTAATGTGTTCAGACTTAACTTTTTTTGTTTTTTTTTCTTTTTTAATAATAAGGGAAAAGGTGAGAACATACGGAGAATACCCATCTCAGGAAAAATTGATTGCCGTGAAAAATAAGACAACACCTTTGAAATATTGCCCATTAGAACAGAAGAAAATGCCACAGGCTTACTACCCCCATGGGTAACAAGCCCCAGAGAGGCACTTTTCTGCAGCACACTTGTCTCCCACCTAAGCAGACTATAGAGAGCAGGGATTGTTTTTATGTAGGTCCTTCACTTTTTGGCTCTGCCATTATTACAAAAACAATATTTCCCATTTACTGAGCACCTACTCAGTGGGAGGGTATTCTATCGGGTCTGTTCCATATGCAATTTAACCCTCATAGCAACATGACGAGGCAGATTTTAACATTTCCTTTGTACTCTTAAGGAAAGGGAGACTTAAAGAGGGTAACTAAGATTTTCAAGCTCATTTGGCTATTTGCCAGCATTCAAACCCAGGAATTTCTGATTCCAGAGCTGACTCACTGCCCTGTAGTGCCATCCACAAACCACAACAGAAATGAAGGGCCACCTAGAATTTTCAGTATTGGAATAAAGTTACTTCTTTACCCTCACCAAGGCTACTTTAAAGAAACATTTGTTGAAGTGGTGGTTAGGATATCATCTTGCTATATCTTTAAGAATTTTTTAAATCTAAGAAGTGTGGTTAAAAAAAAAAAAAGTGTGGTAAAGGAGGTTGAAAAGAAGATGAGCTATTAAAGGAAGTGCTACTACTTTCTAAATATGGTATTGCACTAATATGTATAAAATGGATAACTAATAAGAACCTGCTGTATAAAAAATAGATAAAATAAAATTAAAAAAAATATGGTATTAACGTCTGCATACTAAAAGGAAACAAAATGGAAGTTCTCCCATATAAACTTACTGTGATAATCTTAGTATGTTTATAGTGGTTTTTCAGAAATATTTGAAACTATCTGGTTCTAAGTATCTTCTATACATTATATGTTAAAATTCTTAAAGAGTTTTCTAAACATCATAGTAAACTTCTGACAGCTTGAAATTATAACTCAGGTCACAGTATTTGACTATCATCTTAATTGATAATCATCTTAATTGATAATCACTTGCCACGTGATTAAAAAAAGTACTTTTTAACTATTGTTAAATATGACTAGAGTCATATTTAATAGTTCTAATTTGACCAATTTTTCATAAATTGATTTGTTTAAATCCAGTGTTGCCTGCATGACTATATAGAGGTACAATTTACTTATTTTCTTTAATATGTGAAGGAATTATTGCTCAGTAATAGAGACGAAGCAGATTTTAGGAACCACATTATTTCTTAAAATTTTAGATTGTTAATTTAAAAATTATTAAATATTTTATATTACTTAGTATATGGAATTATATACTTACTATATTTTAAAAAGCAGTTCAGAAGCATATAAGGTTATAATTGAAAAGTTTTCATCCATACCCTTCCCTCTAATCTCATACTTCAGCAGTAAATACCGCAAGCAGTTTTCTGTGTATCCATTTGGGCCTCTTCAAAGCACAATCTGAATGTTTAGGAAGAAACAGAGGATCCAAGGTCATGAAGAAAAAAATGTCATAATCTTATGTTTCTATACATAAAACTATAATTCTCTTATTTTAGAAATTCCTAATAAGTATATGGTTTATCCACGCTAATGTTCCAGTTGCTAATTAAGCAGAAACTATCAAGTGCCAACCCTCTCAACTCCCTGACCCTGTACCCTACAACTCTGTTTCTCCTCTATTTCCAAGGGTCCTTCTCCCAAACCGCCATCTCCAGAGGCTCTCCCCGGCTGCTCCTTCTCAGACCTTCTTCCATGGGTCGTCCCCTCTTTCTCCAGCATCTTCAAAATCAGCCTCATAATTGGTCTTTAGTGCCAGCCTATAGATATACTTATGTCTGTTCCACCCTAGAAAGATTTTCCCTTGATCCTTTCTTTTCTAGTCCTGGCCAGTCTCTGTGACAATAGTAAGTCCACAGTAAGTGTTTGCTGAATGAATAAATGAATGAATGCTTCATATACAACATGTGGAGATAAAAGTATAGTATCATTATTGGAAATTAATCCAACAGATTTCTGAAAAGTTTTTACTGTAATATCTAGGAGATAATTTGTTACTAAGCAATAATTATAAACTTGTCATAACAAATGTTATTATTTTAAGAACCAGTACTTTTATCGAAATGTATCTTTGTTTTAGGTTTACATCTCATTGGATCAACCTGTGACTGCTTTAAATCTTTTCAAACAAGGCTTAGATAAGTTTCCAGGAGAAGTAGCCCTACTTTGTGGAATTGCCAGGATCTATGAGGTAAGGTTCATATCATTCAAAAAGTTGTAAAATTGAGGTTGTATGCTACTTAAGTAAGGTCATAGTCCCTTGGGGTCTTATAAAGGGTAACAGTTATAAAATTATGATTGTTGGCCTGTGATTTACCAACAGAATAAGAGATTTTAGTGTATGCTTTAGTCAAACTAAGTTTTTATTATGAAGTATTTCAGACATATAGAAGAGTATAGAGAATGGTATGAGATAGGGATTTAAATGTTTCTAATTTCAAATACCTTGTAACATAGAATAGAACAGTTCAGATGAAGGCCTGCCTTTCAAATGAATAAACAAAAGGCCCCAAGAAAAATTAAAACCACAACCAAATAAAATTAGCAATCATTTTAAACAAGTTTCTGTACAGAACAAGCAATGAACAATAGGCAGCACAACATGTTCATTTAGAAGAAACAAGACCAAAATGAAAGTGATAAAAAAAAATAAATAAATAAAGGAAAAGAATCCCTGCAGAGAAAAGTATGATAGACATGCAGAAATCCCTTAAGGCATATGTTGTGTAGGCTGCCACGCTAAGGAACAAACTTCAGTAATTAACCCTCAATCCATTGAGACATAAGGAGAAAAGGAATACACTGGAAATCTTTGTATGGTAAACTTTATTTGAATTGTTCTATGTTAAAAGGTATTTGGGATGAGAAACATTACCCTAGGAAATATTATTCTTGTGGTCCTTGAACTTTACTGTGAATAGAAGTGACTTTGGGAGTGTTTTGAGAGTGAGGCCCATTTTCTGTCTTCTGAATCAGATGTCCTGGAAGGTGGGATGTAGGTTTTTGTCTGCTTAGCAAGCTCACTAGGTGATTCTGAAGTATAACAGAGTTTGAGGATCATCGCAAAATTCACTTCCTTGTTTGCAGTTTTGTTTTAAATAACTAAAAATCTAATTAGAGTTAATATTCTGTGAATTGATTCAAAAATAACCACTAACAGCTACTATAAAATCACTTAAATGATACCACGGTTGTTTATACACTTGAAGTGACATTTATATGCTTGAAGATATTATTTAAAGGACAAAAATAGAATCTGTGTTTATTCATACATATGAAAATTTATGTGCTAAAGATTGTCTATTAAACCAATTGGATTATTGGGTTATTTAATAGTTTAGAAATAGAGCTGGATGAGTAATGATTTCTTATACTAAAAGAACCCATTGCTACCAGGTGCCTCAAAGATTTAAAACCATGAATGTTCCAGAAGAAAATACAGATGAATTATCTGTATAAACTTGGAATGGGGAAGACCCTCCTGAGCATGATACTAAGTCAGAAAGCCATAACAGAAAAAAATTGATAAATTTGAGAACGTAAAAGTTAACTTTTCTATATTGTAAAAACAAAAATACCAATAAAAGCAAACCCAAACAAAAAAAAGGTAAAAATATCAAACAGGGCACATATTTGCCATACCTGGGACAGAAAAAAGGGCTTCTTTTCATTTCCTCAGTTTATACATTGCTTAACAATTGCTGGGTTTCAGGTGGTTTCCAGTTGATGGAGAATTACACATAGACACATACCTGTGCATACACAAACTTATAAATTCTCATTTTGGTCAAGCATGTAAACACGGAAACTCGGTATTTCCTCAGAGCAGTTGTGGAGGTGAGATCACAGTGTGACCGTTGTTGTCCTTCCAGCCCACACAGTGGCTGCTGACCGTCTCCACGCCAGTAAAGTCCCCCCCCAGAGATGAGACAACAGCCAAACCCCAGCTGCATTTCAGCTACCCCGCTGCCCTTTCATACCGGCGCTGGTTAACATACATCTGGAACAACTCAACCAAACCATCTGTGCTTCTCCTCTGAAGGGAATGTTTATAAACACAGGGCCTCGCTGGGTTTTGAACTGAATTCAGCATCAGCACAGGCTCATTGCATCTGGAAGGAGAAAACAGTCAGTGTCCAGGGATCCCCGAGCTACAGCTGTGTCTCCAGCTCTCCTGAGCCCAGGAGGGTGGTTTCCCCCCCAAGCCACTCATACACATAAACCAATAATAAAAGGACAAGAGACAGGATAAGAAAACTTGGCAAAAGACACGAATCCACAATTCACAGAAAAAGAAATGTAAATACCTGGTGTGTTCAATGTCTAACCTCAGTAATGATTAAAGAAATAAAAATTCAAACAATAATGTTATTTTTTACTTAATCAGGTTAACAAAGATGAATAAGTTCCGTGGCATTTAAGGTTGTCAAGGGTGTGGAGGAACAGAGGTCATGTATGAACGTTGTTGCTGGGAGTGTACATTGGTACAAGCCATTTGGAGGCGATTTGTAATTACTTATGAGATTTTTAAACATGCATTTAAATTTATTTAACATCACACGTATTTTATAATAACAAGTTTGAAAAACTGCATGTAAGGTTGTCAAAAACATGTTAGTTTCAGTCTAAAATTCCTAGAGATTACATAAATTAAGTCCATGCCCATCTATCAAGTATACAAACATTCTAAGATGTTCTTTTTTTTCTTTTTTATTGAAGTATAGTTGATTTACAATATTGTCTTAATTTCAGGTGTACAAAACAGAAACAGACTCACAGACATAGAAGACAGACTTAGGGTTACCAAAGGGGAGAGGGAGTGGGACAAATTAGGAGTATGGGATTAACAGTTACAGACTACTAAAGTAATTTTAGAGAACTGAAAGCCTTGAAACAATTGACCATTGAGGCTGGAGTCTTCTTTGAATTGGACATTACCACCTGTTTCAGACTGAGTTATGTCCCCTCCCCCCACCTCCCAATTCATATGTTGAAGCCCTAACCCCCAATGTGAGGGTATTTAGAGATAGGGCCTTTGGGAGATAATTAGGATTAGATGAGCTCACGCGGATAGGGCCCTTGTGATGGGATTAGTGCCCTTATAAGATGAGACAACAGAAAACACTTGAGCCCTCTCTCTCTGTCTCTGTTTCTCTCTCTCTCATGAGAGGACACCGTGAGAAGGTGCAAGCCAGGAAGAGAGTCCTCACTAGAACTCGACCATGCTGACGCCATGATCTTGGACTTCTAGCCTCTAGAACTGTGAGAAAATAAACTTCTATTGTTTAAGCCGCTCAGTCTATGGTATTTTGTTATGGCAGCCCAAGCAGACTAATACACCAAGTTTGGCAGCTGTAACACTGCATGAAGCCTTGTACTGTGGGGTGCTGTTGCCCTGGAAACCAGATAAGTCATGTTCAGGGGGCCCCATGGTTCATGGGGCCATTAAGGCTCACTGGTCAGGTCACATCCTGAGTGTGAAGATTATTCTTTGGAAGGAGCAAGTCTTAGTCTGCTTGGGCTACTATAACAAAATACCATAACCTGGGTGACTTAAACAACAGAAATTTATTTCTCACAGCTGTGGAGGCTAGGAAGTCCAAAATCAAGGTGCTGGCCATTTCAGGTCCTAGTGAGGGATCCTCCTGGTCTGGATACCTTCTTGCTCTATCCTTACATGGTGGAGAGAGAGATCATCTCTCAGGTGTCTCTTCTTTAAGGGCACTAATCCCAATTATGGGGGCTCCACACTCATGTCTTAATTACTTCCCAAAGGTTCCACCTCTAAATACTATCACATTGGGGATTAGGGCTTCTATATGAATTTTGGGAGGACACAAACAGCCCATGTCAGGGAAGGACTTATTGTACGTATAGGGGTGGGGATTACAGGGTGGTGAGTTAAGTTGCTCATTTGTTGTTTCCTTTTAGTTTTACGAGGCTTTTGTTTTACCAAAAAATAGAAAATATACTTCTATTGAAATTATTTTTTATACTTTTCAATTGGTTCTTATGTTCTTAAAATATTAAGAACGTGGAATAGTTGTGTATAAAAGCAGTGTAGAATTCAGGAGAAAATTAACTCAGAGTTAACTAACAAATGTATCAACATCCCTGTGTTTTGAAAAAAGTTTAGTTATTTTTCAGCTATAAGCAATGAATGAAAAAGCCTCTTCTCTTTAGGAACCAAATCCTGGAAGCACTTTGAATAAGAATTTCAAATATAAAGCATGTGAAAAAATTATATAAAGCATGAGTTTGGATCAATCTGTGGATGTTATATCAGGGTTTTATGGGACTAATAAATAACACTCCTGTTTCTCCAATTTGAGAACCAACTGAAAAATAGATACAAGATTCACACAAATGGAGGATAAACCATTAATTTTATTATTGATAAAAGCAGAATTGGAGCATGTGGCTCTAGATTATGACCAAAAGGACTTAATATTGTTCTACCTCTGAGTTACACAGACTAATCCATCCTGTCACAGACATGAGTGTACCCTACCCAGGAGAGCCTGCTCTACACAGCAGGGCAGAGAATGTAGGCATCTTATAGGAAAGTTGACTTCTAAAGAGACCCAGAAGGGGCTGAGACAGCCATACTCATTTGCCTCATGGGAATGAGGGAATGAGTGGGAAGAAAGGCTCCCAAATCATTCTGATTATCAACATTTCTCAAAGTGTGGTTCAGAGATTCCTGGGGAAGTCCTTTCTAGGAGTCTATAGGGTCAAAACCATTCTCATAATACTAATAGTATTGATGAAATTGGTGATACATTTAATAGATGTAATTTTTTAATTGAGATATAGTTGATATACAATACTGTATAAGTTACAGGTGTACAACATAATGTTTCACAATTTTTAAATGTTATACTCCATTTATGGTTATAAAATATTGGCTATATTTCCTGTGTTGTACAATATATTCTTGTAGCTTATTTTATACATAATAGTTTGTGTCTCTTAATCGCCTGTCCCTGTCTTGCCCATCCTTCCTTCCCTCTCCCAACTGGTAACCACTAGTTTGTTATCTATATCTGTGTCTGTTTCTTTTTTGTTATATTCACTAGTTTGTTGTATTTTTTAGATTACATATATAAGTGACATCATATAGTATTTGTCTTTCTCTGACTTATTTCATTATGCATAATACACTCCAAGTCCATTCATGTTGTTGCAAATGGCAAAATTTCACTCTTTTTTATGGCTGAGTAGTATTCTATTGTGTGTGTGTGTGTGTGTGTGTGTGTGTGTGTGTGTGTGTAATCACATCTTCTTTATCCATGCATCTATTGATGGCCATTTAGGTTATTTCCATATTTTAGCAATTTTATGAACTTTGGGGTGCATGAATCTTTTCAAATTAGTGTTTTTGTTTTTGTTTTTTTCAGATATATACTCAGGAGTGGAATTGCTGGGTCATATGGTAGTTGTATTTTTAGTTTTTTGAGAAACCACTGTACTGTCTTCCACTGTGGCTGCACCAATTTGCATTCTGACCAACAATGTACGAGGGTTCCCTTTTCTCCACATCCTTGCCAGCATTTGTTAGTTATGGTCTTTTTGATGACAGCCATTCTGACAGGTGTAAGGTGATATCTCATTGTGGCTTTAATTTGCATTTCTTTGATGATTAATGATATTGAGCATCTTTTCATGTGTATGTTGGCCATCTGAATGTCCTCTTTGGCAAAATATCAATTCAGGTCTTCTGCCCATTTTTTAATTGGGTTGTTTATTTTTTGTTGTTGAATTGTATGAGCTGTTTATATATTTTGGATACTAACCACTTATCAGTCATATGAGTTGCATATATTTTCTCCCATTCATTAGGTTGTCTTTTCATTCTGTCAGTGGTTTCCTTTGCTGTGCAAAAGCTTTTAAGTCTATTTAGGTCCCATTTGCTTATTTTTCCTTTTATTTCCTTTGCTTTAGGACGGCAGCCCCCAACCTTTTTGGCACCAGGGACCAGTTTCGTGGAAGATAATTCTTCCACAGATAGGGGCGGGGGGGTGGTTCAAGTGGTAATGTGAATGATGGGGAACAATGGGGAGCTGCAGATGAAGCTTTGCTCGCTCGCCCACTGCTCACCTCCTGCTATGTGGAGCAGTTCCTAACAGGACACGGACCGATACTGGTCCATGGCCTGGGTATTGGGGACCCCTGCTTTAGGAGACAGATCCAAAAAAATATTGCTATGATATATGTCAAAGAGTGTTCTGCCTATGTTTTCTCCTAGGAGTTTTATGGTTTCTGGTGTTACATTTAGGTCTTTAATCCATTTTGAGTTTATTTTTGAATATGGTGTGAGAAAATGTTCTAATTTCATTCTTTTACATGTAACTGTCCAGTTTTCTCAGCACCACTTATTGAAGAGACTGTCTTTTCTTCATTGTATATTCTTGCCTCCTTTGTGGTAGATTAATTGACCATAAGTACCTGGTTTTATTTCTGGGCTCTCTATTCTGTTCCATTGATCTATATGTCTGTCTGGTTTTGTGCCAGCACCATACTGGTTTTGTTTGTTTGTTGTTGTTGTTTTCTGCTGCACCGTGCAGCTTGCAGGATTTCCCTGACCAGGGATCCAGGGATTGAACCCGGGCCACCACAGTGAAAGCCCAGAATCCCAATCACTAGGCCACCAGGGAAGTCCACCATACTGTTTTCATTACTGTAGCTTTGTAGTATAGTCTGAAGTATGATTCCTCCAGCTCTGTTCTTCTTTCTTAAGATTGTTTTGGCTATTCAGGGTCTTCTGTGTCTCCATACAAATTTTAAAATTATTTTTTCTAGTTCTGTGAAAAATGCCATTGCTATTTTGATAGGGATTGCATCAAACCTGTAGATTGCCTTGGGTAGTATAGTCATTTTAACAGTATTGATTTTTCCAATCCAAGAACATAGTATATCTTTCCATCTGTTTGTGTCGTCTTCAATTTCTTTCATTAGTGTCTTATAGTTTTCCAAGTATAGATCTTTTACCTCCTTTGATAGGTTTATTCCTAGTATTTTATTCTTTTTGTTGCAATGGTAAATGGGATGTTTCTTTAATTTCTCTTTCTGATAGTTTGTTGTTAGTGTATAGAAATACAACAGATTTCTATGTATTAATTTTGTATTCTGTAATGTTACTCAATTCATTGATGAGCTCTAGTAGTTTTCTGGTGGTGTCTTGAGGAATTTCTATGTATAGTCTCATGTCATCTGCAAACAGTGACAGTTTTACTTCTTCCTTTCCAATTTGGATTCCTTTTATTTCTTTTTCTTGTCTGGTTGCTGTGGCTAGGACTTCCAACTCTATGTTGAATAAAAGTGGTGAGAGTGGGCATCCTTGTCTTGTTCCTGATCTTAGAGGAAATGCAGAAATCTTCAACAAAATATTAACAAACCAAATCCAACAATACATTAAAAGGATCACACCATCATCAAGTGAGATTTATCCCAGGGATGCAAGGATTTTTCAATATTCGCAAATCAATCAATGTGATACACCACATCAAAAGATTGAATACTAAAAACCATATGATCATCTCAATAGATGCAGAAAAAACTTTTGAGAAAATTCAGCATCCATTTATGATAAAAACTCTCAAGAAAATGGGCATAAAGGAACGTACCTCAACATAATAAAGTCCATATATGACAGACCCACAGCTAACATCATACTCAGTGGTGAAAAACTGAAAGAACTTCCCCTTAGATAGTTGTTCATTTGTTTGTCTTCCTACCAGATGTAACCTCCTTGAGGACAGTACAGCCGTCTTTCCGTATCCAGGGGGGATTGCTTCCAGGACCCCTTGGTTGCCAAAATCCATGGACGCTCAAGGCCCTTATATAAAATGGCGTAGGATTTGCATATAACCTACCCACATCCATCTGTATACTTTAAATCATCTCTAGATTGCTTATAATACCTAATAAAATGTAAATGCTATATAACTAGCTATAAATACAATGTAAATGCTATATAAATAATTGCTAGTGCAGAAAATTCAAGTTTTGCTTTTTGGAATTTTCTGGAATTTTTTTCTGAATATTTTTGATCTGTGGCTTGTTGAAATCGTGGTTACAGAACCTGCAGATACAGAGGGCCGACTGTAATTTTATCTTATTGTTCACATTGTGTCCCCAGGGCCTAGAACAGAGTCTGGCATATGGTAGGCTCTTAATAAATATTTAATTGAATAAAATAATCTAAACCAATCAGAATAAAAATAATTTCTTGTCCAATATTAATACAGTATTGCTCTTCTGTCTTGATGGAGAATAGGAAATGAACAATATTTCATCAGCCACTGAATACTACAAAGAGGTTTTGAAACAGGACAATACTCATGTGGAAGCCATTGCATGCATTGGAAGCAACCATTTTTACTCTGATCAACCAGAAGTAGCCCTCCGGTTTTACAGGTGCACTTCACATTCAATCTGTAGAACTGCTTTCCTATGAAATAGTGATGCAACAGTAATAAAGATGGGATGAAAATGTAGAGAAATAATGTTTAGGCCATGTCTATATGAGACTAAAAATTCAAGCACCCAGATGTTTTATGAATATTAAAGCTATATCTAATAATTTGGAAATGCACAAGTATTTGGCATCTTGCAGAAACACACCTGGATAATTGCCTGAGTTTTTAACACCTTGTCATTGTATAAATTGGCCGTTTTGTTATCCGCCAATAACAGGTTAACAGTTCTTAGAAGCACTTCCACATCACTGCCTCCGTTAATACCACTGTACATAATATCAAGACCCTGAAGGTAAAATATTAATGTGATTTGCAAAGAGCAGTGGGCCCCAGGCCCTAATCCTGATGAGGACCTTAAACAGGATTCCGGTTTTGTGAAGTATTGTCAACTCTTGTCCAAATATTTTTTCAAAATCTAAACAAATTATTCTCACTGGTTCTTTGAACACGTACTTATTTTATCCTATAGATGGTTCCTGAAATTAATTTTTAAATTATCATTTCCTCTTTAGCCCCTGGGTAGTATACAAGGAGATAACTGGCAGCTGACAAGAGTTCTTTCCAAATATATTTTGAAGCATAAAACAATAATACGAATGTAGCCTGTGCACATACAGCTGACTCCACTCGCCTACCCCCACAGTGGCTCATGGGTTCCTCATGGCAGCTGGGGTGATTTTCGTATGCTTATTTGAACTCTCATCCTTTGGGATTAATGACACATAGAAGCAAAATGAGGTTCTTGAGCTGCAGTGTGAAAGCTAAGTGGATAACATGGGGATCCTCTGACAATCTTGTCTTCCTGAGTAGAAGCTCATCGGAGGTCGTTAGATGCAGCTAAACCACACAATACAAATAACCAAAAACAGCATCCAACTCAGCTGAAAACTTGGCGGTAAATGCTAAACACAGGCCTCAAATTTGACTAGAAGCTCTTAGAAATTTACCTACAAACACCAAAGCTGTATGAGGCAAAAATGTGTGGGTTTTACTTTATGTGACTATTTATTGATTATTTTGATTCTCTAACAAAGCTTTTGGGGCAAAAAAAAGTTATGTAAGTTATTTCTGACCTTGCCTCTGGATGCATTTCCTATGACTAGTACCATTACAAAAGACATGCTTTTGTATTTGCTCTAAAATATTTTTCATTTACTATAATACTTTATGTTCTTTGGAGGGTATTAAAAATTATAAAGTGAATTCATTTCTAACTTTGTAAAAAATATGTCTTAATATTTATAAAGTTGGTCTGACACCAAACTCTGTGCGCTCTTTTTCCAAAAGGCGACTCCTGCAGATGGGTATCTATAACTGCCAGCTTTTTAACAACCTGGGGCTCTGTTGCTTCTATGCCCAGCAGTATGATATGACTCTGACCTCATTTGAACGTGCCCTTTCTCTGGCTGAAAATGAAGAAGAGATAGCTGACGTCTGGTACAACTTGGGACATGTGGCTGTGGTATGTTGTTTCTGTAATGTAATTTCTGTAATAGAGAAGGTAGCCACATGTTAGTTTGAAGAAGTTTTCAGATATTGGAAATCCAGGTTTGGTTACAGTCTTTGTAGCAATTTGGAGATTGCTAGGGGTCACTGCAGCTCATTTTATCTTCTTAGGTTAAATCCTCTTATGTACAATTCACACTTGACTCCTGTGTTGGTACTTGTTTATTCTGTGGTGGCCGAAAGATTTGTATGAGGAAAGGAGGATGGAGGTGGCAGGAGGAAGTGAATGGATTTGTGTGTACGAGTTTGTGCTTTTCGTTTGTAGGGAATAGGAGATACAAATCTGGCCCATCAGTGCTTCAGGCTGGCTCTAGTCAACAACAATAACCACGCAGAGGCCTACAACAACCTGGCCGTGCTGGAGATGCGGAAGGGCCATGTCGAACAGGTCAGTGAACTACTGGGTTACTGTGGACAGTCTTCTTTCTTCAAAGAAAAGCTGCCACGTGCAGCTCTCTTTACGTTATAATTTTAAAATGAGCTCTGGAGTCTGACTGGCCTGGGTTTGATCCCAGCTCTGTCACGTATTAGCAGTGTGACCTTGGACAAGTTACTTAACCTTTCAGTATCCAAAATAGAACACTTGATTTTATTAGGACAAATCTGCACCTCCCCAGGCTTCCCTATCTTCGTGAACTGTTCCGCCACTCACACCGCCCCCCATCCGCCATCCGGCTGCTCAAGCCAAAATCCTAGGACCCACCCTCGAAACCTGTCTTTTCTGAGTGCCTTCCCTGCCACCCTTTGCCTCCGTGCTGTCCAGTGAGCTCTGTCAGTTCTACCCCCACCTCTTCAGTCCTCCCCTCCCGGCTCCCTTCTCCGAGCTGCTCTCATCTCCTGCCTGGGTGACTACAAGGGTCTCCTAGCTCTTGCTTTTGTTTCCGCTTCCATCAGCAAGTAGGCGCACCCTATAATACATCTCCCTCAGAGCAGCCCAGAGCAGGGTTCCCCAACCCCTGGGCTGAAGCCTGTCAGGAACCGGGCGGCACAGCAGGAGGCGAGCAGCAGCCGAGCGAGCGAAGCTTCATCTGCCATACCGCAACGCCTCCATCGCTTGCATCGCTGTCTGAACCATATCCCGCTCCCTCACCCCTGCCCGTGGAAAACCTGTCTTCCACAAAACCGGTCCCTGGTGCCAAAAAGGCTGGGGACCGCTAGCCTAGAGGATATTTTTAAAAAACAAGATTATTTTATTACTACGTTGCTTAGCATCCTCCAAAGGCTTCTCCCTGCACTTGGAGTAAAATATGAACTTCAAACCTTAGCCACGTGGCCCCACCTAATCTAGCCTCTGGGTCCCGCCAGACTGTATCTTTTGCCACTACTCCTTCACTACTGACTTCCAGAAACATTAGCTGCTTGCTGCTGGGCAGTGCCTGTTCTTACTGTAGTGCCTTTGGAAAATACTTTCAGATCCTGAAATGATTCTTTTCTTTTTATCATTCAGGTCTTAGCTTAATTACCACCTTTTAAGAAAGACCTGCTTGAACATCAGTCTAAAGGAGCCCTCAGGTGCTATCACATCTCCTACTATTTTTTTCTTCACAATACTTATCATTTTACCAGATATTTTCATCTTTATGTGTAGAATGTAGAATGCTAGCTGCATGAAGGAACCTTCTCTGTCTTCTAACTGCTATATTTTCAGTATCAAAAACATTGCCTGGGGCTTCCCTGGTGGCACAGTGGTTGGGAGTCCACCTGCCGATGCAGGGGACGCGGGTTCGTGCCCCGGTCCGGGGGGACCCCGCGTGCCGCGGAGCTGCTGGGCCCCTGAGCCATGGCCGCTGAGCCTGCGCGTCCGGAGCCTGTGCTCCGCGACGGGAGAGGCCACGGCAGTGAGAGGCCCGCGTACCGGAAAAAAAACAAAACAAACAAAAAAAACCCATTGCCTGACACTTGGTAGGTGCTTAGTATTGGTGGAATGAGTGGATAATAAATAAAATAGGGTAATAACAGTACTGACCCGAAGGTGTCCTTGTGAAGATGAGCAGATTGTGCATGCAAAGCCCTTGGTGTAGTAAAAGCACATGATAGATGCTTAATAAATTGTATTATTATTACTGTTATTATTTACATAACAGGAAGTTTAAGATGCTGAATACACTCATACAATATTAATGGCAATCAACATCGATAGATATTACATTCTCTGTTTTACAGATGAAGAAACAGACTAGAGGAGGGTAAGTAACTACCCAAGGTCACAGACGCAGTGAGCAGCACGCCAGGATGTTAACCTCCAGCCTGGTCTCCTAAGCACGTTGATAAACTTAATAAAACAAGCAAAGAAACGTCACTGGATGCTGCCTTTGTTTCACAAAATTTTCCCAAAGTAAATAAGATGGATTTGTATTTTTTAAACAAAAACTAACTACTCTAAACTGGGAACTTGTTCTGTCATAGAACTTTGCCTGTGTCCATTTGAAGCAAGTGTTCTTTATGATTTTCTCTGTTTCCATGTTGGTGATTTTCTTTCCCTCCTACTTACTGTAGTTTCTCCAGCATACAATTGATTTGAAATGTTTTGGTGAAAGGTTTCATTATTATTAAAAATTATAACTCAATTTTTAAAAAATAGCAAATCATAAAACAAAATTTAATATCTACCATCCTATTTAAACTATTATTTATTTTCCATTAAAAAAAGATAAAAGAATTTGTCCTCAGGGTCATACATAGAAGATTGGCTACAAGTTGAAAGGCTGTTTGGCAGCTTGGAATGCGGAGTTTGTGATCTTAACAATGAGTGTACGGGCATCTCATGTCTCTCAGTGGTCTCTGCAATGTGTGATCCTTTGAGTCTAGAGGGGACAAAAAAATGATGTGAATTTTGTCTTTTGAGTACTTTAGAGAACAGAAAGCTTGTCATTTTCAGCCGCCTTCAGTTGTCATTTTCAGGTCAGCAGTATAATAAATGCTTGCTCAGTGTCATCCAGCACAGAAATTGGGGGTTTGAATTTACAATGGTTTTCTGGTGGTTTTTGTTGTTGCATTAGAGAACAGGTAATTAGAAGCCTACTAAATCAATCAACATCAACAAAAACTAGATTAATAAGACTTTTTAGCATTGAGAGCATTATTTTTCAGTTGTACATCATACTGAAATATAAACTTTGTAAGATCAGTGTTTCTCACATAACTTTTGGATTCCATCATTTTCTCCATATTTTGAAGCATTTTATTATTAATATAATTTTGGCAAGATATAGGTAGTTCCTGGTTATCAGTAAGTTGTATTTCATGAAGAATTCATCTTATTTATTACAGGGTTATGTTTATTAAAGTCCTATCCTGGGTAAAGTATTCTTTTACCAAAAAAAAAAAAAAAATCACAAATACAGTGCTAATATATGCTCATATAGCTTTGGTTTCTCTTTTCTTTCTTTTTTTTTTTAACACAGGCAAGAGCACTGTTACAAACTGCTTCATCTTTAGCACCCCACATGTATGAGCCGCATTTTAATTTTGCAACAGTTTCTGATAAGGTATTCTCTTTCTTTGTCAATTTATCATCTGACCTGTTTGTTTTTCTTTCTTGCTTTTAAAAAATGTACAGTTAAATAAGGACATTCTGGGCTTCCCTGGTGGCGCAGTGGTTGAGCGTCCGCCTGCCGATGCAGGGGACACGGGTTCGCGCCCCGGTCTGGGAAGATCCCACATGCCGCGGAGCGGCTGGGCCCGTGAGCCATGGCCGCTGAACCTGCGCGTCCGGAGCCTGTGCTCCGCAATGGGGGAGGCCACAACAGTGAGAGGCCCGCGTACTGAAAAAAAAATAAATAAAAATAAGGACATTCTACCCATAACTTCCTGAGAGAAATTATTTTTTTCATCGCTTAATTATGATGTACACATATGTCTTCACTTTGAGGGACAGTTTAATACACTTTAAGTATATTTATCACTGAATATTAGCTAAACTTAACACCATTATAGATTGCAGAAGAATTATTTTATGTTTTCAAATATGACATTTAATCATTGAAAAACTATTCATTAACTCCTGGTTTGGGAAGGATTTAGTAATTAGCATTTGCAGCAAGGAAATCCTGTATATTATTTGTAGGTCATATTGCTATCAAGTCTGGCGTGATGCTGTAAAATTAGGGATATTAGTGAAAGCTGTTTTAGCTATGAACAATATGGGAAAAATGCAACCGTTGATACTGCGTTACAAGTCAGTTAACATACAAGAGCTAAAAGGAATCATGTGCCATTTTAACAATAAGAGGAAACAAACAAAAGTCATCTAATAACTTTTACTTGGAAACCTTACTTTTTAACATGGAAGGTAAGTTTTGAGGATAAGGAAATGGCTAAAAATGTTTGCTGATGTAAAGACTCTTTCTTTATAGACCAAAAGACATTATAAAAATCATTTTTCATAGCATGAATGTGAAGTCATTTGCACTTTCATTTCTGTTTTGAAAATAAAATAAGCTGTTATTCACAAGTTGTCATTTTTGAGTGCTTGTTAAGTGCCGGCCACTGTTCCAGGTGCTCTCTGAACCACTAATTCTCTCAACAACCCTGCGATGTAGGTAACACTTACCTCCCCTACTCATTTTTTCATACAACTGATGTTTCATTTGTTGAGCCTCTGCTACGTACCAGGCACTGTTGTCGGCACAGAGGATGTTAGCAATGAGTAACACAGAAACCTCTACCTCATGCAGCTTATATTCTAACGGAACCCAGGGCTTCTGGAACTTAAAAGACTTCCCTGGAGTCCCATGGCAGAATTCATGCCCAGCTCCCAAGGATTCCCACATATTTTCCACTGCACTGTGCTGCCACTTAGTTAAACCACAAAGAAGCCTTGATTACTTTCTTTCAGGACTGTTATTACATTTCAATAATATATAATGCAAATGAAATATTTCTTTAAGCCAAAGGCTACATTTCCATAAGAGAAAATTGCATGTTGAAAAGAAATGCTATGATTTAAAAAAGGAAGCTTACGTTTTTAATTCATATGCATGTTACCAAAAAACTACCAGAAGTGAATGATCTAGATTTTTTTTTTTTTTTGGTGTGTACACACTAAAAAGCTTTCTCTTTTTAGAAATGTATACATGAATCAAGATACATTCAGATGGATTCGGTTACTGTGTATGTTTTTCTTGGGGACTGGACTTTAACACAACGTTTATTGAAAATCAGATATGTCGGGCTTCCCTGGTGGCACAGTGGTTGAGAGTCCGCCTGCCGATGCAGGGGACATGGGTTAGTGCCCCGGTCCGGGAGGATCCCACATGCCGCAGAGCGGCTAGGCCCGTGAGCCATGGCCACTGAGCCTGTGTGTCCGGAGCCTGTGCTCCGCAACGGGAGAGGCCACAACAGTGAGAGGCCCGCATACTGCAAAAAAAAAAAAGAAAGAAAAAAAAAAAAGAAAAGAAAATCAGATATGTCCTTTATAAACTTTTAAAACCAGGTTATCTGCCCAACATTACTGTGTTAGCAACCATTTAAAAGCTCCCAGAGCATGTTATTGTATCTTAAATACAATAGTTTTTACTTGAATTTTCTGTCTAAAAGATAATACCCTAATCAAAATATGTCATTGTGGTACATTACAAATAGTTTTCTTACAGAGCTGGCTGTTTTAGCATGCAGACATCAATTTATTTTTATGATAACTATCAGTGACAGGAAAAGAAAACACAGGTCTATGAATTCATAACTAGACAACTGTAATAGAGCAGAAATTATTTATGTAATTGGTTATTTTACTTTTCTCATATTTTTTCAAGATTGAATTGTAATCTAGGTGAAAAAAATTTTAAATTAAAGTAGCACAATCAAGCAATTCACCTTGGGTTTCTACATTGTGCAGATAATATGTCTTTTTTTCTGGTTCTCATTCTGTGGTCTTATTCTGGTCTGGTCTTTCTTACAGATGGGAGATCTACAGAGGAGTTACATTGCTGCTCAAAAGTCTGAAGCAGCATTTCCAGATCACGTGGACACTCAACATTTAATTAAGCAGTTAAAGCAGCATTTTGCTATGCTCTGAGTTTTCCTCAGACTAAAGATATTCTTAGGGAGGAACATTATTCAAGGGAAAAAGTAGTGTATATATATGTGTAGTACAAACCTGTGCTTGATATTAGTGAAGGTGACATAAGGAAATCTAAACCAGAATGTTTAAAACTTTATAATAATAACTTTATAAGATAATGTTATAAAAGACAGGCTTTAAGCATTTGTAAGCAGATTATGAAACCTCCCACATTATATGGTAGGTGTTTGTTTATAATGTTTACAAAACATTTTCATGAATTTCCTCAAATTTTTATAAATGCACATTTTTAATGTCCTGGCCATTAGCTATCATGTAGCTTAAGAGGTCTGAAATCTGCCTTCAAAATTGCACTTTTATGACTAAAAGTGAATATACTTATCCTTGGTAGAGACTTTAGAGATTAAAAATTGTACTTAAAGCTATTTTTTATCAAATGCTTTGTGAGACACTCTACTTTTTCTTATATATTATGCTTTAAAATAAATGTGTATAAAACACCATCATTCCATTATTTTTCAGAGGTTTTTATTTCAGTCATCTCAGTTAAAAAAAGTTTTCCAGAAGTCCAGGAGTCTTAGAAATCAAGTCATTATTCTAATTTTATTTGAAATGATGTACGATCAATTTTGCTTTTTCCTGAGAAGCTATTTATGGGCTATCATATTGTCAATATAAGAATATCAGGATTAGAAATGGAGTCATAGGCCAGAAGTCCCCCTGTGGTCAGCCCTGAGAAGGTTAGGCTGGACCCAATACTGTGCATTGTAAAATCCTAGACAGGCTCTCCTCTCCGGTATTTAGTGGAATTCTCATTGAAGTGTTCATACAACGAAATGCGTTAAAGGGCCAAGGCCACTCACATTCATATTTTGGGCTTTGAGCTCTATCTATATTACTTTACCTTTTTTAACTTTATGAAAACTATTTTACAGGTATTTATTTGTTTCTGTTCAGATTATACAAATAGTACTACTTAGCTGACAGAACACAAAAAATGTGAATTCAAGGAATAGATTGTTTGAGGCTGGAAGTAATTTCAGAGACTATGTAGATGAATCACTCCATGGGACAGGAGGAGGCCACGCCCAGAGTCACACTGCTGGTTGGTAAGGCTGGAAACAAGACCTGCTCCTGCACTTCAGGCTTGAACCTCCCCTGGTTCTCCATGATACGCCAGTGCTTGTTCAGCTTGCGAGAATTTCCTCAAGCACTATCAGATTTCCTAACACTGTATGCAATATTTAGGTTCAAATTTTATATTGTGAATTATTTTCTTAGTTAATTTAAAATAAGAACTAATAACAGTGGCTAGCGTTTACTGAGGATGTTTTTTGTACCCAGCACTGTTCTGGAGCTCTTGATATGGAGTAATTCATTTAATTCCCATTTCAGTCCTATGAAATACTGTTACTCCCATTTTACTCATGAAAAAAATGAGGCACAGAGCAGTCAAATTACGTGCCCAAATTCTAAAGCTATTAAATGGCAGAGCTGGGATTCAAATGCACACTTAATATAGTGGTTAAGAGCACATACTCGGGAGCCAAATGCACATTATTTATAAAGGAATGGGTTTAAGGGTAACAGCAGATTTCTGTGTGGCCCTGGAGTATGTGTTCTTAACTACTATGTCAAATCTCTTAGTGTTTCTCCTGTAAATAAAGCTACTATTGTTTAAAATGAATGTTACATGCATTAGTAAAGTTGAATTATAAGGGACTGTTAACACAGCAAAAAAATTAATGAGCCAGCATTCCTAAGGTGATATGGAGAGATTTTTGTCTTGAATTTATGTTAATTCAATGTGAACACCAATGCAAAGAATGAGTCAGGATGGCTAAGGGCAGAATGATGACATAACACGGCATCAGAAGCTACATATATTTTGTAGCAAAATTATTTCTGGACCGTATAACTTCTGGCTTCTGTGCCAACGTTTCTATATCAGGAAGGTTAACAATTGTCTTCTACCATGATTAAAAAAGAGTTCTATCCATATATAAATTGTTCAGCCGAAACTAACATTATTGAGCTTCCAGCTGATGAAAGGGAGATATGGCAAGAAGGCTGCCTACAATGAATAATTGCTGAGGTTAGACGTTCTTCCTTTCCAAAAAGGTCACGTCTGAACCAGTTCCCTATGGTACTACTGTTCTGTTACATTTCTGAATGGTATTTCCCTGCATCAGAGCACCCATCAGGATATAATTTAAGGCCTAGAAATAGGAAAATTAATAAAGATAACACATTACTATAGTTCCCACCACCAACTCTTTATTAATATGAGGGATTTTAAAAAATTTTTATTTATTTTTGGCTGCATTGGGTCTTCATTGCTGCGTGCAGGCTTCCTCTTGTTGCGGCAAGTGGGGGCTACTCTTCGTTATGGTGCGCAGGCTTCTCATTGTGGTGGCTTCCCTTTTTGTGGAGCACGGGCTCTAGGTGCGCGGGCTTCAGTAGTTGTGGCTCGCGGGCTCTAGAGCGCAGGCTCAGTAGTTGTGGCGCACGGGCTTAGTTGCTCCACAGCATGTGGGATCTTCCCGGACCGGGGCTCGAACCCGTGTCCCCTGCATTGGCAGGCAGATTCTTAACCACTGCACCACCAGGGAAGACCAATACAAGGGATTTTCATCAAGAGCTTTTAGCTGGAATTGAATTTAAGCGTTCAGAAAAATAACAAAGATTTTAGAACTACCACAGGAGGACTCGGCCTTGGAAAATAATGAACCCAGAAATTAAGTTTTGGTAAAAGGCCATTACTGGATAATTTTAAATTCTAGGGAATAGGTAAATTGGAATGATCCATGGATATGTTCCAGAGTTCTAAAATGGTTATCTAGGCTCAGATATTAGGGGAAAAAGTTTATCTATTGATTTGAAAATAACCACAGTTTTACATCCTTCCATATTGATGGCCTTAGTCCTATTTTTTGGCTGGCTAAAAATTTAACATTTTTGAGAGATGCTGTCATTTTACGTCCTCAGTATTAAAGCCCAATTCTGGAGATAAAAGAATAAGGATTACATAAAGATTAAATTATAATCCTTGGAGGCTATATTTCTTGCAATGTGATACTTTCCATTACCTGAATCCTGACTAATAAGGAGTAATTGGTAAAATGTAAATGATGGGAACTCTTGGAGAAAGCCACCACATTATCTTAGGGAAGAAAAGGTCATATTTAGACAGATATTAGGAAGAAATATTTTTCCTGTTTTAAATCAGAGAAGATAGATCTTCTTCCAGTGTTTGAAACTCAAGTTTCTATGGGCTCCAACATTTTCTCTCTACTGGATTTTCTCTCTTTCTCCTTTTTAAAACATCACAGTCCCTGTAAACCTTCCCCTTTCTAGAACTCCTTTATCTCCTTTGTCAGAACATCTTGAAAGGGCAGGTGATGTTTGTTGCCTACTTCCTCATCTTCCATTTGTTTCTTGACGCTTTTCAGTCTGTCTTCAACCCCTACCACTACTCAGCTGCTCTCGCTGAGGTCATTAATGACTGTCATTAGCAAATCCAGAGTTGTTGTTGTTTTTTTTAACATAACAGTTTTTAAAGATAATATTCATGTACCACACAATTCTTGCTTTTAAAGTGTACCATTTATGGCTTTTAACATATGCACAGTTAGGAAACCATCACTATAATCAATTTAAAAACACTTTTGCTATGCCCAGTAGAAACTTCATACCCATTAACAGAATTTGTTCATTATTATTATTTTTTAACATCTTTATTGGAGTATAATTGCTTTACAGTGGTGTGTTAGTTTCTGCCTTATAACAAAGTGAATCAGTTATACATATACATATGTCCACATATCTCCTCCCTCTTGCATCTCCCTCCCTCCAACCCTCCCTATCCCACCCCTCTAGGTGGTCACAAAGCACCGAGCTGATTTCCCTGTGCTATGCGGCTGCTTCCCACTAGCTATCTATTTTACGTTTGGTAGTGTATATATGTCCATGCCACTCTCTCACTACGTCCCAGCTTACCCTTCCCCCTCCCTGTGTCCTCAAGTCCATTCTCTAGTAGGTCTGCTTCTTTATTCTCGTCTTGCCCCTAGGTTCTTCATGACAATTTTTTGTTTTTGTTTTTAGATTACATATATATGTGTTAGCCTACGGTATTTGTTTTTCTCTTTCTGACGAACTTCACTCTGTATGACAGACTCTAGGTCCATCCACCTTACTACAAATAACTCAATTTCATTTCTTTTTATGGCTGAGTAATATTCCATTGTATATATGTGCCACACCTTCTTTATTCATTCATCTGTTGATACACACTTAGATTGCTTCCATGTCCTAGCTATTGTAAATAGAGCTGCAATGAACATTGTGGTACATGACTCTTTGAATTATGGTTTTCTCAGGGTATATGCCCAGTAGTGGGATTGCTGGGTCGTATGGTAGTTCTATTTTAAGCTTTTTTTTGTGTGTGTGTGGTACGCAAGCCTCTCACTGTTGTGGCCTCTCCTGCTGTGAAGCAACAGGCTCTGGACACGCAGGCTCAGCGTCCATGGCTCACGGGCCTAGCCGCTCCGTGGCATGTGGGATCTTTCCGGACCAGGGCACGAACCCGCATCCCCTGCATCGGCAGGCGGACTCTCAACCACTGTGCCACCAGGGAAGCCCTATTTTTAGCTTTTTAAGGAACCTCCATACTGTTCTCCACAGTGGCTGTATCAATTTACATTCCCACAAACAATGCAAGAGGTTTCCGTTTTCTGCACACCCTGCACACCCTCTCCAGCAGTTATTGTTTGTACTTTTTTTTTTTTGCTGTACGCAGGCCTCTCACTGCCGTGGCCTCTCCCGCTGCAGAGCACAGGCTCCGGACGCGTAGGCCCAGCGGCCATGGCCCACGGGCCCAGCCGCTCTGCGGCACGTGGGATCCTCCCGGACCGGGGCACAAACCCATGTCCCCTGCATCGGCAGGTGGACTCTCAACCACTGTGCCACCAGGGAAGCCCTGTACATTTTTTGAT